ATACCCCAGGCAAGATGGTTACAGGGTGTATAAGGGCAGCAGGGCACAATGTTCTCCCCTTCCCCTGTGGGCCGGGACTAGCCACAGTGCAGGGTACCACAACTAGGCACAGATCTGTCCCTCTGCCCCCCGGCAGAGGCTTGGACCAAGGGCAGTGCACAGTGCAGGCCAGCCCCGCATGCATGGGGGGTGGGGTCTGGAGGTAGCACAAAGGGGCCTGGGTGTCACCAAGAGCTGGGCTGGATCCTCCAGCAATAGCACAGACCCTGCTGCGATCTGGGCAGGCGTCTCGCTGCCAAGGCAGGGTGCATGCTTCCACCTCCCCCTTTGTCCTGTTGGCGAGTGGGCAGGATCCATCCAGGCTGCCCCACTCCACTAGGGACCTGCCTAAGACGACTCTGCACCCAGAGGGGTTGGCGGCAATGTTCTCGCTAAGTTTTTCCATCAGTGTGCGGAATAAATGTTATTGTGTGCACCAAGGCAACAGCAGATGTGCACCACCCATAGAAACACATGCTGCCGGCTGTGAGTACTCTGCTAAGCACCTGAATCTCTCCTGGGAGGCTGCCTAAATGCACCACCTCCAGGCCATGCTCCTCAGGGGCTGTGGGAATTGAACCAGGGAGCATGGGATCATAAAGCACCAGGCTCTGCTGCCTGAGCGAACTCATCTGCTCTGGTATTGAAGACTGCCAACATGTTGGTAATGCTCAGACAGCGCCACCTCGTGGCCAAATGAGCACAGCCCTGGCCTTAGCCAGTGCCAAGCTGGCCCACCCTGGCAGGAGCACTGGAGAAGAGGAAGCATTAGACATGGGGGGGCGGGCGAGAAGGAGGAATATAATTAAAGATCCTAGGACATTTTAACTCTGATGTTTCTGCCAGATTCCAGTTCAAGCTACACCCTCCCTCCCTAGATCCCCACACACATCAAGGTTCTGCCACAGTGTCACACGCTACCATGGAGCCCCCCAGAGGCAGCTGCATTTCAGGGGAGCGTTTGCGAAAAGTACATTGACAGCTTGCAAAGCCGCTCTCAAGAGGCCCAGAGGCATTCACAGGAGTGTTGTGAGCAAGACACGTGAAATCATTCTTCCGCTCTGCTCTGATCAGGCCTCAGTTGGAGTACTGGGTCCAGTTCTGGGCACCACATTTCAAGAAGGATGTGGAGAAATTGGGGAAGGTCCAGAGAAGAGCAACAAGAATGATTAAAGGTCTGGAGAACATGACCTGTGAAGGGAGACTGAAAGAACTGGGCTTGTTTAGTTTGGAAAGGGGAAGACGGAGAGGGGACAAGATAGAGGTTTTCAAGTGTCTAAAAGGGTGTCACAAGGAAGAGGGAGAAAAATTGTTCTCCTAGGCCTCTGAGGATAGAACAGGAAGCAATGGGCTTAAGCTGCAGCAAGGGAGGTTTAGGTTGGACATTAGGAAAAAGTTCCTAACTGTCAGGGTGGCTAAACACTGGAATAAATTGCCCAGGGAGGTTGTGGAATCTCCATCACGGGAGATATTTAAGAGCAGGTTGGACAGACACCTGTCAGGGATGGTCTAGATGGTACTGGGTCCTGCCATGAGGGCAGGGGACTGGATTTGATGACCTCTCAGGGCCCCTTCCAGTTCTAGTGTTCTTTGATTCTATGTCCAAAGAACAACGGTTCAACTTTCAAAGGGTTCAGGATCCATCATCCAGGGCGAGATTTGGTTACGGGAATGGCTAGGCTCTGCCCTGTGGCCCTAGGGTTGCCAGGGGTCTGGTTTTGGCCTGGACAGTCCATTATTTCTGGCCCCCGTCCGGTAAAAAAAATAGAAAATTTTACATGTGCGGCATTTTCTGTTTCTCTCGGCTGGAAGGGACCTTTTTCCCCTGCTACGTCTGGTGAGGGCGGGGGGAGCAAGGGTTTCTTTTCTTTTTTTTTTTGTTCAATTTTTTTTCCTGCCATGTTCAGGATTTTTTGTGAAAGTATCTGGCAACCTTATGCCAGGCACTACGCATGCACAGCCAAAAGAGATGCTGCCTTCCCCAGAAAGCTAATAATCCAAGTGGCCGTGGATGGAAAGCACAACGTAGAACAGGCGGAGGATTTTTGTTCCTAGCTCTATTCCCTGCCCGACCAAAAAAAAAAAAAAAAAATCGCTAGTTTCGTCAACACGCAAATGTCTGGTTCCAACTAAACGTTGCAGGCAGTTTGTTGAAATCCAACACCAGGAACTGGCAGAGGCTTTGGGGAAGACTTAGGGAAATTAAAAATAATTATAATAATAAAGTATCAGAGGAGTAGCCGTGTTAGGCTGGATCTGCAAAAGCGACAAGGAGTCCTGTGGCACCTTATAGACTAACAGATGGATTGGAGCATAAGCTTTCGTGGTCAAAGACCCACTGTGTCACGTGCAGCTGGTGAAGTGGGTCTTTGCCCACGAAAGCTTATGCTCCAATCCATCTGTTAGTCTATACGGTGCTACAGGATTCCTTGTCAATAATAATTAAATTTTCTACCAATGGAAAAAAAAACTGTAGAAGAATCCAACGCAAATAAAAACAATTTCCCCCCACTCTAATTTTCCTCCCCGGAATAGCCAAATCCCCAGAGCAGCCATGGAAAAGTTCTGGCGCAGGTCACAAAGGAGAGATCTGGAGGCGCTTCCTTTCTGCGGGCGTGTAAATACGTCTTTTATTAATGGAAACACAGTCCCCCAAAGCAGGTCGGAGGCGAGGGTTCATGATACGTGGCGCTGGTACCTTTTATGCCCGGTGCTGTACAGACTCCGGGCGGTTACGTTCCCCCCACAACAGCACTAGAGCCAGACTTGCATTCAGCCGGTTTCCCACGTGGTTGGTACAAACAACGGAAAAGCAGGGCAGGGAGCCCGTGGAACAATCTCTGCCAGCCGAGGTTCAGCAAGGAAAGGGAGGGCAGCGAGCGCAGAACAGGAAGCGTGACACTAACGGGGAGGCCCAAGCTCTGTGTAACCCGCCTAGGCACTGCCAGGAAATCCCACAGAGGTGCAGCATTGCCCAGTCACTTGTGACTCAGGGAATCTTGGGGCTAGTCCTCGGCTCTGCCACTGGCCTGCTGGGTGGCCTTGGGCATGTCACTTGGCTGCTCTGTGCCTCAGTTTCCCCTCCCGTCTTTGGCCGATTTCAGCTAAGCTCTTGTCTAAGTGCAGTGCCACAGGGACCCACTCAGCTGGGCTACTTACAATGATCTCTAAGGGGGAGGGGAAGCCGTCCTGAAGGGAGACGGGCACCAGTATCTCATAGTGCCCTTTGAAAGGGCCAGATGTGACTGAGGCCTGGGACCTAAGCACAGGATGAATTTCAGCCCCAGCTGGCTTGACATGATGTGTTAGCAGAGGCAGCATCCCCTCCCCTCCCCCACCCCAAGATTTTAGTTTGGTTTAATACAATAAAGAGATCTAGTTTCTCCTCCTGCTCTGGAGCACCAGAGTCCAGTCCTCCAACAGCTGGGGAGAAGACCCAGGAGCCCTGCTCCTTAGGCCCTTCCCCCCCTCCCCTCCCAGAGCCGGGGATAGAACCCAGGGAAAAAACACTACTGAGTCATCAGCTCGGCTGCATTTCCTGCCCCATCAACTTCCAGCTGGTGCCAGCGGTGGGATACAGGCTTCCCAAGCGATGCCACTCCAAATCCCA